GGAGAATCAGTGGGATTTCACCAGAACAAATGTAAATTGCCATTTTGGCAAATAACTGTAATTCACCTTCTTAGTTAGGAAAATGAAAGATTGATATCACCAGTCTGACATAGCTAAGATATAATAGTCAACTGTCCTAGGTCTCTCTCACCCCCTGCCCTCTCTTTTCTTTCCCCTATGTTCCTCCAACCTCTCCTCTCTCCCTCATTGTTCTCCCCTCACACCGACCGGTTGAGGCCGATGGTCGCCCACAGTGAGTCTGGTTCTGCTTGAAGTCTCTTACAGTTAAAAGTTTTTTTTGCTTGTTCGTTGTGGGTTCTTTATAATATTGTAAGGTCTGACATTACCATGTTATGTGACGTATCCATTCTAAATCAAGTTAGAAGTAGGGTCATTTTATTATAGACTTCTATAGAAACAGACTTGTTATTGTAACCTCTAGAGTCGCCCTCTGCTGATCATTCAAGAGAATACAGGTTTCAGTCACTGGCCCATATGGCTTAACTTTATAGACCAAGAGCCTACGCCCATTTGTATACGCAGTCTATGGGATCGAACCAGGTTGACTATTTCCCATCTTTATGCTAAGCTAAACTAGTCAGTTGCTAGTGGTAGCATCGTACTAATAGACATAAGAGCAGTATCAAACTTCTAATCTAACTCTCATCAAGAACAATTGTGACTCTTGGTAAAGATGAAGAAGCGGAGAGAGAAGAAGAGAAGACAGAAAGAGAAACGGGTCAGAAATGGACCATAGTCGGCCAAACTGATGACTGCATTCCCGACAATGATAAATGGTTAAAATGGGGAGGGATGGATAAGTCTTCCTTGGGTCTTATATTAAAATGAATTGTGCAGACAGGAGAAAAGACATTATAATCATTACAGTAGACGTGTCAGCGAAAATGACTTGGAGATGGTCCACATTCCTTCACGTTCAGAACAACTGTCATCACGGCTGCTGGCTTGGCACATGCACAAAGCTCTGCAGACGTCACAGGACCATGCTCTCTGCCAGGAGACACGTGGCCACGAGGCTGTCAGCAAAGTCCAAGTGGACGTCACCTGAAATACAAGAGACAGCAGGAGGGACGTCACGTTCTGGCCACACTCTTAGAGTAAGACACTTCCTGAAGCCTTGATGATCTTTGACAAGCTGCCAGCAGAATGACGGCGGCAGAGAGGTCAGGTAATCCAGGGTTAACTGGCTCCATGTCCACTAAATAGGATTGAAAGGGCCAGTCGGCCTATTCGGACTGAGGCTATGAAGGGAAACTAAGCAGCCGGAAGTCTCTGTGAGCTACAGGTCAGCATTCAAGCTAAAGCAGAGTATGAATAACTCTTAAGTAACTCTTAAGGTATTATGGATGGCATTTGCCATCACTGCTGCTGAATGACTTACTATCCAAACTCTGCTACGTCTGGGTCTTTTTTTAAATGGTAGCCAAACATATCTCTAAAAAGTATTACTACATTTGATAATTATTAATTCATTATCATGCTTAGAGTTGTTAAAATAAACAAATGCATCTCATAATATACATGTATCAAATCATTTGGTATGATATTTGTTTTCAAGAACCATTTATGGGGCCATTAGCTGAGGTTCACTTAGTGAGGTCACTTTATCAAGCATGTGAACACATGTTCCAGAGTAAACTACAGCACTTCCTGTACCTTCTGCCAATATTAAGAGACCCTTCAGCCAGCGGTGGCCCATCAGTAACCCAGTCGTTACATTTATTTCAAATGAAAGTTTAAAATTAGAGTTCCAGAGATATTTGGTGGGGAGTGTGTCTGAAATGTTCCATAAGAGAAACATGTAAAGTATTCCTATTTGCTGGAGTGATGCAGCTGTAAGGTGTTCACCCTGTGAGGTGAAGTTTGTGTTGAGGCTGAATACTCTTCATCTCCTCCCCTTCCAAACATGAAAGTTGTCATGAAAACTCAAAAGGTTTTAGTTTGTCCAGTTTGGACGACACTAAAAAAACATGGCGGCCTCCACATAGAGGACCCCCCCCCCCCCATGTAAATATAAAGTTTTTATATATAAAGGGCCCGTTCTATGGTTAAAAACATCAATTCACAAAATTTGGATGAAACACACCAGTGAAAATATCCCTAGGATTATTTTATATTCAATTTGTGCCAAAAATCCCTTTAACCTAAATCTTACACACTGAACTTTTAAGAATAGGAAATTCATTTTAGACCAAATATAATCAAACCTGTCGTTAATTTGTATTTACCCCATCAAAGATGTCCAGGAAGAAAATAAAGTGAAAATGATCCAACTACCACCAAAATTAATATTTTGTCTAACTGCTGTGAAACATGTAGACAAATGTAATTCAGACATGATTTTATTATTATTAAGAATTGTATATAGTGATAGTATATTGGGAGCAGAAAATTAAATCGACAGTTTTTGTCATAATGAACTTTTTCCAAAAGCTGGATAAAGAATGGATAAATTGAATAGATAAAAATTGCATTTGCATTCAGAGACTGACACCAAGTAACATGTTCGTTTTGCTGTCACTCTGTCCTATTTATCATCTTGATGTGAGTTCAACTTTCTCTTCCTATAAAGGAGGTAAAAAAATGAACTAAAATACAACTTTAACCTTGAATCAGCAGGTTTCAGTGTGCTAGTTCCCAGTTTTGGAAACTCAATAACCCACAGAGATCCTGTGTATTTACCACACAGTATATAAAGAAATTAAACATTACATTTCTACAAGTTGCTCTAAAAGTGCAGTGTTTCCGTTCTGATGTTTCCAGACATACTGGATTGGTCCACTTAGCATATACGAGGTTGGAGAAGTACTTGAGAGTCTTTTACAGTCATTAGATCCTAACAGATGACGAACTGCCTGATGAGTGATGGCATCAGACTGCATAACTGCTGGTTCGACCTTGCTCATTGTGCTTTGGCACTCTCCAGTTGGACCAGGTTGGGAATGTAGGAGGTATTCCATGGAGTGTCTAAGCACATCCCTTTTTCTCCATAAACAAATTAATCCTGAAGTTATCCTTGCCGGTCGGCTGGACCACGGCCCTATGACTTTCCCATCTGCCTGGCAGGAAGGCTCGACGGCCACGGCCCTGTCCTCCACCATCCCTCCACAGGAAGAGTGCACCTTCCTTTAGTATGCTCCACTGCTGTACAGTGTCACAACCTTCTCTGCAAAACTATGTGATCTACAGCAGGGATTTCCAACCACAGGCATTTGTATCTTTACATTTACCAGGGAAGATTGTGGAGCAGATCTGTTCAAAAGACTGAGAAACATTATTGAATTTTCATCTTTATTCAGTTTTATTTGTATAGCACCTTACCGCAGCATATATTACCTCAAGGCACTTTACCCAGTTAGGCCGAGATCTTACAATATTATAGAGAAACCCAACAGTTCCCACAATGAGCAAGTGCTGGGCGAAGATGCAGACAGGAAGAAATATTAAGGAGAACCAGAGTCAGAGTGAGAGACAATCTGCCTCGACTGGTGAGGATGAGAGGATAGGAAAGAGAGAATAGGCAGGGAAAAGAAGAAAAGGAAAAAAGACAAAAACAACAATAATATTGATACTGGCGCCTCATACCAAGGCTTCAAGCCTCTTCGCAGCCACCTGGGTTTCGATTCCAGCTTGCAGCCCTTTGCTGCGTGTCAATTCCCAATGTCCCCCTTTCACACTTAACTGTCTGTCCAAAAACTAATAACCGTTATAAGATGAAAATAATGGTGATGATGGTGATAATAGAAGTAAAGTTGTAGGCAGTGTCAGACTCTTCAGCGACACCAGCAAAGACAGAGAGGACAGAGAAGACACACAATACAAACATCTGCAGAGAGAAGACACAGTTAATGACATGTTAATACATGAAGGAGAAGGAGGGACAGAGAGAAGGAGCTCGTCTGAGTCACAGCCCAAACTATAAGCTTTATCAAAGTAGAACATTGGAAGACTAACCTTGTTGTTTTCTAAAAATAATGCATAGATGATTGAAATAGCTAAGTAAGGGAGACATTATCAAAAGAACTAAAAATATTGGTTATGAGTAGATGGTCAAAAAAAGCCAAAAGGTGGAGCAGAAAATATTCCAAATTGTTACAATGGAACTGCTCGAAGCCGTAAATACAAATACGCAGTTGACCATTCCAATTAAATGTTAAAGTTCAAGTAAAAGAGGCAAATGTATTAGTAATTAAGATTTTAAAAAGAGTTCATAAGTTAAAATGGAACATGACGACCTGTACTCCACCTCACACCCAATGCTGGGATCGGCTCCATCTCCTCCACCACCCTAAAAGCATAAGCAACAATATTAGACGGATGGACATCAGGAACATGACAGGTGTTGATGACAGTTCATCTGACAGGGCTGTGGGTAATGTCTGGGAACCTCTGCTCTCCAGCCATCACTTATATGAATATCAAGGTGGTGTATTCAGCAGTACATTATGGAGGCTGCTTTTTCATGTTTGAAAGTGTTATTCTAAAACATGTCATGTGTCACTGCACTCCCCACAAAACCACTACATTTTCATTCAGGGCACAGTCGCTACGGCTGAGAAGTCCTTCTCGAGTGTTTCACACTGGTTTCCAGGCTCGTGGTGTGATGTAAAGATGGAGATTTTTTTTTATTCATGTGTCGTCTCTGCACCAGCTAATGGAGCCTAATCTCTAATTAATATTCCCCCACGAACCATCTCTCCTTGACTTCCGATGGGATGCTCTACCTGTAATTACAGCCAATATAATCTCTAAATCGCCACACTCTCTGTTCAGATCAGGGTCATCACAGTTAATCAGAGGCTGAGACTCGATAATGGTCATTTGCTCATGCCGGGCAGATGAAGTGTCAGGAGACAGGGAGATTAAATGTTATCTTTATTAGATGCGGCGAGAGCTACAATTTTCCGTTAAGGAAAGGAGAACGGAGATTCAGTTCTAAAAAAAAAAAAAAAAAAAAGGATATAATTGAGAAAATGAAATGTTTTCATTCCACCCACTGCAATCGCAACTGAAACACAGACAGGAGACCGGGGTCATTCCACAGGTGAGACATTTTAATGCATGCCTTTTTCATTTCACATCCCTGTGTCTCTCACATACACACAGATGGCAAGTCAAGGCAACATAACATGGTCCAGAAACGGGCGAAGTATTCAGCTTACACCGGCTCCAGGCCAAAAAACACCAGGAGACTAGTGAAAGAAAGAAAAGGATGAATAAAAGTTTATATTCCAGCTGCTGTTTCAGTGTGCGTGTTGTCATCACTTAAGGCATACCACCTCCTCAAACACTTGTGTGAAAACTTTGAAGGCTAGAGAGCCAGTTCAATGGTGCACTGTAACTGCATCACATAGTATATTTCAAATAGGCATTTTACTGATGTTTAAAATGCATATTTACATTACATTACCATGTCACTGCAAATCAGAAGATGCAAAAAAAACAATGTATTAGAACAGCAAAAGGACCATGAAAAGAAACTATAGGTACGGCCTTAGTAAATACTTAACTTTACTTAAGCACAGCTTATCTGCTCTGCCTGGGTTGATCATTGGCACTGTAATTTTCTGAATTAACATTGAGAACTTTCATTGATTTAACAAACAAACGCTCAAAGGGATGTAGTTTGGACCCATTTTGTGGCTTGAACATTCCAACTTCTTTTCTTTGGCAACTTCATCTTCATATAACGAGCAATGTTTTTTGGGGACATGTATTTTAACACAGTTAACTTAAAGACATGCATAAGTAGTGCCTGGCTCAAAAAACAACTCTTCAGGACCACATTCAGTCATGAACAACACTCATTCTGTCGCGTACACACACACACACACAATGTTGAGCAGAAAAAAACCAGAAGTTAAAGTAACACTGCAGAAGGGAGCAGAGATCTGCCTCAATCTCGTCTCTCAAACTGGGCTTCACACGGACTGATGGATCAGATGATATGTGAGGGTTGGATGATATCTGAGGGGAAGCTGCAGCAGGAACTCTACCAACATTATAATGACGACTCCAAGGGATGTTTTCCCTTTGATGGTATGTGGTCTGTGCTGTTAAACTTCAGTGTTTGTTCCAGGTTGGGGCTGCAATGGGACCTCTGGAAGACCTCTCCACCACTATCAGCTCATCAGGGTTGTCACGCGCCTTATAATGGAACAGGAGGTCTTGGATGGCGCTCTCTTCAATCTACAAAGAGCATAAAAAGACAGGAAAAAAGAGATAGAGTCTGAGATACTGAGGAAACTTAAGCCACACTTCATTTGAGGGTGAAAGAGAAAACGCTGACACTCAGAGTACAATAATGATAATAAGAGAGTTTTACGTAATGGCAAAAAGAACCAGCAAGAAAAGAAGTATGTTCTGTGAAGCTGCTGACAGAAGCCTGGCCACAGCTGCAGAGAGGGCTCAGAAAAAAACACAGAACGTGATGTCTGCCACATAGGATAAAGAGGAGCCACGTATAAGCTATACATTCAGTCACGTAGGAGTGTGTATGTGAGGGTGCGAGCACTAATGCACAAAGACAAGACGCGTTACCTGGATGAGTGCCAGCGGCTTCTCTCGGCTGCGGATCAGAGCGGCTTCCTGTTGCTTCTCCTCCTCTACGATGGAGGCAAAGGCCACCTGGGAGAGGCCGGGAGGGCTGCCCGCTGCACCCAGCACCCAGGGCCTGAGGGAAGAAACAGGTGACACAAAGAGAGAGATATAGTGAGGATGGGTATCTGACTCTGCTGTGATAGTGAAAGCAACCAGACTGAAGTGCGTGGACAAAGGTTGAATCGACGACTACTGACAAGGTGTGTGAGCAGGCCGTCTGTCCACCTCGCTTTAACAACCCTCTGTGGAACTGGACTGAAGAAACAATTCATCTCTGGTATGCTATCGTCTAGATTCAAGGAGAATCACAGGACTGAGACGGCTGTTAAACTTTTAAAAGATCTGCACATAAGCTTATACAGTGGATGACAAATTATTATCAGGGTCTATGAATAGGACTGAGGAGACCAATCCCAACGTGGTCTAAAAAAAAACTATGAAAAAAAAACATTTTAGAAAAGGAAACCTCAGGAGCTGCTTTCAGACATGCACTGAACTCTTCAGTTTCTCCGCAAGGGCTGTGTGTGTGAACGCAAATGTGAGACTGTCTGCAGGGTTAGTACTAGTGGTCAAGTGGAGAAAGTCTGCAGAAGAATTCAATGTGAGTGAGTGGGGGGTTGATGACGCTTCTAATACGAGGCAAAAATTTAAAAACAGTACAAATATCTCAGCATGAAAAGTGCCATACATATAGAAGACACCGACAAAGATGTCAAGAGTAAATGGTAACAATGTGCTGTAAACAAAAACAGATGATCTCCGTTGCAGAAATGTTTGCGTTACATCCTGCCTCTGTCTGTTGCACCACCACTTGCCTGAATCCTCCTCAGGAGAATTTGTTGTTGTTGTGAACGCATCTGAGTTGTAATCAGGTTGGTCATGTGTGAAAGGAACCCTCTGGAGAAAGCCCGGACCCAATTCTCCGGAGTTTCTCCAGAGGTAATGTCTGGAGAGTCACGATTGAGGGATCCCTCTCCCAGGACGCACAGTGCAATAAATGTCAGAAATCACATCAACAAAATAACATTTCATTCATCAACACTCATGAGAAAAGACAGTGTCAGACATAAATGGAAAGGTGTATCAATGTTTAAGAAAGATGAAAGAAAGAAAGATTTAGGAAAATGTCTGACAGCGATGAAGCATGAGAGAAAGATGATCAAATGTATGTAGCTGAAATATTAATCACTGATACAGTATCAGTTTCATGCGCTTTACAAGAAAAATAAGCCGGTTAACTACATTTAAGAAGGGGACTGTGACAGTATAGAACAAAAATATGAGATCATTATTTACAAAAATTCAAAAGAAATGCAAATACTTTGTTTCTAATGACTTGATTTTACTAAGAACTGTACAAAAATGTAGGCATATAAAGAAATGAATCATGGTCGCACCACATTCATCTAGATGAAAAAACACTAAAATCACCTAATTAAAATTTTAATAGGATTTTATGTGTACACAACATTCCTAATGTTTGAACAATTGAAATGGATATTCTTATTTTTTTGTAATTTTAAGTTAGACTGTTGAAAATCCTTATACATCATTGACCTTTATATTGAAAGTAGGGCTGCGTGATATATTGAAAATCTATCGTCATCGCAATATCAACGTGTGTGATAGACGGAAAAAACTGCGAAAAATGGTTTTCCATACGCCACGCATTCACGCTCTGAATGTCAATATATTTGGCCAATCATCACCTGGCCCCATATCGCATGTTTTCCTAAATGTGCAGCCCTATTTTTGATGTAATAATAGATTAATAATAAGTATATACTTATATTTTGTCAATACAACCAGTCTGACAGTGCTTGAATACAACCAGTTACACAATAGTAAATGATTGTCATCTGACATGCATGGGTTATGTCTTAAAATCTTGCTGTTACACCCACTAGAAATATTTCCCTTCAAACGTCAATGCAGAACACATTTCCTCTCTGAATATTTACTCTCTAAACAACTTATCTTTGTTACCTGTTCCATGAGGTCATCACCATCTGTTCAACATGACATGTCTACAGTCTGTTTGGGCACGCTTAGAGTGATTTCTTAGATCATAGTTGCTACATGCGAGTTTGAGACGAAAACATTTCTAATCATTCACGACGAGGCATGTTAAAAAAAATGAAAATAAGACTCTGTACATGTGCATGTGACTCTGGCCAAGAGACACCTCTGGAAATGATTGACTCAAAAAGAGAAAGAGGCTGGCGTTCAATCAAGATTATGAAGGTATTGCTATTAAACCTGACTTAAAACTCTGGAAACAGTGTCTCAGAAACCTGACATGAGCATGACGAGGCTACTGCAGCTTCCTGGGCCTTGAACTCGTCCATCTTATCCAAATACCAGGAGGAACCTGAAACCTGCTCTGTTCTGTATGATCTGTTTTGACATGAGGTCTGCCCTTATCAATTCTGATTACCATCACCGCTTTCACTATAGTGACTCACACAGTTTAATATCTAGAAGACTGCTCGAAAGATTGCAGGATGAAGCAGGGAGCAGACACAGAGGGAAACGATATCAGGTATAAAAAAGAGATGGACTTTACATGCAAAACCTGAAATGACAATTTTAAGTATTTGATTTATTTTCATCAAAATAGGCATCACATAAACATCAGAGCTATTACTACAGCTGGGAATATACTGTATTTTTATGGACTGGAGTGACAGAGTGTGTGTGTGTGTGTGTGTGTGTGTGTGTGTGTGTGTGTGTGTGTACTGTTTGTCCAGCTGGGGACATTGTAAAGGTCAGTATGACCTCGGTGTTTGCGTCAGGTCGGCTCAGCTGTACTGGGTCATTTAGAGCTGTTCACCTCAGTCTGACCAGAGACTCATGACTCTGAATCAGAGAATCAGTGTGACATAAACAACTCATTGTTGTTCCTGTTTCATTTTTTATCTAATGGGGAATTAATAAAAAAGG